TGTCTCCAAGATCTACAATAGTTGTCTTGCTGCTTCCTGCTTTCCATCTTGATGAAAATCCATTCCTGTAGTCCGACCTCATGAATTCTGCAAATCGTCATATCCTTGTAACTACCGAACTTTTAGCCATCTAGCTTTTTTGGTTAAATATTTATTTCTGAATTGGTTAAGCTTCTCACCTCTCGGGGTTTTCTTTTAAACTAAAAGTATTGCATGTCTTTCGCTTCTGGTGATCAAAGGCCGATATGATGACAGTTATTCCTGAAAGCATTTATCAAGCTTTAGTTACGAATAAGTTCGGTTGGTTGCTTTAGATATCTCGAAGGCGATCGACAGGGTTTGTTATGCTGGACTTCTTTAATAGTTGAATAGTGTTCACTTCCGGCTAAAAACCTTGCGAATTATGTGAACATAAGTATCCTTAATATTTATACGCCTGATATTTCGACAAAATATTCTCTCCACGTGACACTCACATATTGAGACATATAAAAACAAAGGCAGATGGCAGATCAAGGTAGTAAGAGGCGTTAAAATAAAATCACTGACAGCTACATTCTATAAGACGTTGCCGAGAGCCAAGATCGGTGCCGTCTTGAAGAGACACGGCACATGAAAAAAGAAAGAAGCCTACTGACTTGTCTGACCTAGAAGAGAATGCTTATGTGATAAATTCTGCAAACCAGGCTCCCATACCTGTGTTATCTGCCCGGCAATAAAAGCAACATATGTTGTCCATATGGTCAATCTCTGTCATGGTTCTGTTGATATCAAATTTACAAAAATAAATTTGATCAAATTGGTTTCTAAACTGCAAATTGCGGCAAAAGTTATGTCGTACACAACGTTTTCCTACCTTCCAATATCTGAGAATTTTTCCATATTTAAATGAGTGTAATTACTTGTTAGAAGAGATGAGTTAAAAAGCTATTTAAAAAGAGGGAAATTAACGCGGGAGATGTCTTTGTAACTGAGAAAGATTCATTAAAAAACTTTTTTTTTAGATATTCAGCATTTACATGAACCCAATTTTAATAAACAATACAGGGTGAGTCAGAATTATATTAACCCTAGTATGAGAGGACGAGTCAACATTATTTTTACACTAGAAATCATTTATTCATTTACTGAACAGTCTCCACCTGACGACCAGCACGATTGATGTACAAAAAACAGCGATCAACAGTACAATTTAGTACCTTGAAACACATTTCACGCGGAATGTTTGATATTACACTTTTTTTGTTATACACGAGATCCTTTATCAAACCCCATAACCAGAAGTCACAGTGTATCATATCAAGGGAGTGTGGTGTCAACGCTAACGGTCCATCGTGATCTATCCAACGATTTGAGAAACTTTGATCGAGACAAGCCCGATCAATACAGGGAAAATGAAGCAGTACATCATCCTGTTGGTAATACCTTACTCGTCTGATTTTTAAGAGTATATTATTAATGCCAAACTCTTGCAGTATTTGTAAGTAAGCATTTGCAGCCATTGTTGGAGATGTAAAGAAGTATGTGCCAATTACACCCTGTGACTCAGTCTGTATTATTTGACATAAAGATTCCAATATTAACCATAGGTCTTTGACGGAAACAGGCAAAACAGTACGCTTTATATGCAATTTCCTTGTAATATGTCATTTTTACCGATGTAATTATAATTTCATTATTTTTCTTACTACTGATTTTAATAAGCTTTACTCTCAAAGGCGCTGTCCTACAGAAAAGGTTGCTAAGAAAACATGGAGTGAACATACAAGAAACGGAGACCTATTGAGGAAATTGGAGGCAAAAAATACACTTATACATAGAATCAGAAAAAGATAGTTGAAACTGACATTGACAGGATATATTTAAAGAAATAGTGGTAGAGAGAAATGGTGAGTAATGGACCTAACAATATAGATGGATATGAGAACAGAGAATAGAACGTATAGTAAGAAGACAGAAGTTGCTAAGATTTACAAAGGAATGGAAGCTTTTTTCTTAACTGTTACACAATAGTAGCCCCAAGTGCCACTCAAGGTAGAGGGTTACGGAATGAGGTTGTTGCATGGTCATAAGAGCAAGGATAGCAGATCACATGAAAATGTAGGAAAAATAACCGTTGAACGAGATTTTATGAAAATATGAAATGGAGTCTGTACTTCAAAGCAGATACTCTTGTGAAGAGTTGTCAGAGTAAAACTTTCTTCTTAGGAAAGAAATACGAACGGAATGTGGATGGTTCAGCAAAATGTACATAGCATCGTGAGTCTAGACCATGAAGATCTGAACTGGTACGACTAAGGAATGCAGCTTATCAGAACATTTGTCATTGGAATAGAGATAGATGAGCGCAAGTCTTACGGCGTTCCAACTGTATGAAAGGAGATGTAGAGTCGGGAATTATCACCCACAAGACCGATCTGGTGTTTGCAAGAGCAGTTATATACTCTCTGGAACGGTATTAAAAAAAAAAAACGACCATTTTTCCAGCATCTTTTGCGATGGCTTCTATATATGAGTTCCACTAATGAACTTGAGCCTTATTAAACGTTCAAAGCAAGAAGCCACATTTTGAAAACATCTGTCCATCGCGACAGTCGTAAGTTCAGGTGATAACGAAACGTGGCTACCTTGGTTTTGGAGGAACTGAATTTTGCAAGCCAGTTTTCCCCATTGAGCTGTGATTGCTAGGTTAAAAAAGAGTCCGGGTCTGGCATTCAAATATTTAGAGGTTCGCCCACATATTGATGTAACATCAGTATATATTTTTTCGAAAGATCTATGTTCTTTAGGATATCCTTAATATAGAATAGAAAAAAGGGTTGGTTCGAGAGGAAGGGGGCGTTGGAAAACACCGGCCTTGTTCTCATGCGCTTCTTGTGAAGAGTCCTGATCACCCACGTCTTGAAAACATGCAATTGTATGTCCTAAACCTGACAACATATTTTTCAACATAATATCCTTCATTGTCGTAGCACCAGACACTGAAGAATATTAATTATATACTGTAACATAATAAAGTGTATATTTCGGAACAAGATAACTAATGTGTGATGAAAATGTCAAGCAAATACAGATAATCATTTAGGAAATCGAACGGTCCGAGCGTTGTTCAGTACAAATTTGTACGTTGTTAATTTTTTTTTTTTTTAATGTGAAATGTCCACTTTCTAATGTTCTATGCAATTAATATCCCCCACTAATTTAAGTATTACGAAAATGTTTAATATTGTGCTGAAAAATTAATATTTATCGTGAAAAGTATATTTTCATCATAACTACAACATATATATTTCTATCCATGATTGTTTTAAATACTGAGATTTCATTATTTGTTTATTTTCAAAAAAGCTGAAGCATATAAATTCATATAGTTTGTCTATCAAAACATTGTTAACAATAAGTAAGGATGGCATTTTCAAGAATATTATTGAATGCAATCCTCATTTCAGTAAAGTCACAGATGAACATTTTACTTAATTCCATTCAAAAATTATATTCATTGTTTAATTCAGTGCATATATATATATATATGTGTGTGTGTGTGTGTGTGTGTGTGTATGTGTATATATATATATATATATATATATATATATATAGAGAGAGAGAGAGAGAGAGAGAGAGAGAGAGAGAGTCTGTGCTATGGTTGTATCTTTTGTTAGTTAGTTGTTTACTCCTATCGGGTTTTTTTTTCTTTGGGCTTCGTTTTGGTTTTTTTCTTTGAACCCTGTACTTTTCTCTCGACAGACTTTCATATTTGTAGCTCTTTCTTTTTTTAATACCTTTTTTCCCTCGAGATTGATCTGATTATTGGCAAATCAAAAAATTGAGGGTTTTTCGAAACGAGTATATCTATCTATCTATCTATCTATCTATCTATCTATCTATCTATCTATCTATCTATCTATCTATCTATATATATATATATATATATATATATATATATATATATATATATATATATATATATATATATATTGCCCATATGTCTTATGAGTTACATTTATTTGTTATATCCTTGTGTATTGTTTTGTTTTCATCCTTTTAATTTATATATACATATCTTAACACAGAAGATAAAGTCATTCAAATATATTGTCTTCTCGAAACATTATTAACATTATTCCATATATGCCAGTACAATTTTAACTAAAATACTTATTTCTCCTGTTGTTTAATGTTTAATCTGATTTACATACAAGCATGTTTATCGGAGTTACATTTATGCGTTGTATTCTGTTTTGTGTTTGCGTTTACTTTCATTAACATACACATAGCCGCATACAGAACATAAAGTCATTCAAATAATTCGATAGATTGCTCAGTGCCTATATCTATCTAATGTATGGTTATAATTCACATGCACAGAATCCTACCAAAAATAATAAATTATTCATTTTTATTTTCATTTTGAGATTTGTATCTCTTTCATTTTACCATAAATTCTGAAGAGAAATTAAATAAATAAATAATTTTCACCTTCGAAATTGTTAAACATAATTAATCGTTGAAATGTTTATGTTCCGTTAAACTTTCGGCAATTTGATCAAGTATTAAATAAGAATTCTCTGGATAGCATTGTTAGATTTTCTGATCTCGCATAAGCGAGATTTTCGTCCAGTCACCTGAAGCTTTCAATTATTATAACGTGAATACGAAACGATTGGGAATTATATTTTGGTTTTATCAGGTGAAAAAATCATCTTTGCTACTCTAGATCGTCCAAGAGAATGTTCAGGGGATCTTGAAATAGGAACATCAAATGCTTTTAAAATATCTCAACCGGCAAAATGAGATTTTATAGCCAAGATTAAAGCTTTCGCAATTTGGGATACTGGCAGTTCAGATAAATATAAATTTGATAACAGTATTTTTTTTTATCTTTCATTTTTATTTTCATCCATGATGCGATGTTTCGTTTAATGAAAGAATCATTATTTTTTTTGTAATGCTTAACATCTGATAATGCAAAGCGTAATATTTCAAGTGTTATTCCCCTGCAAATGGCTGCTAATGAACTTGGCCAAATTCTTCATGCAATGAATTTTAAGACAAAACTTTTTTTCACCTGCACGCTCTCTTTCTGTTTTTTCTTTCTTACGTTCTACCCCCTCTCTTTTTTCTTTCGTTCTACCACCCTCTCTTTTTTCTTTCGTTCTACCCCCTCTCTTTTTTCTTTGTTCATATTCAATTTCTTTCCGTCTTACGCATTCTCTTATGCATTTGCTAGACAAACATTTGCCAAATGATATGCAGTTATAAAATACAAAGCTCGTTCCATTTATATTTTTCTTATTACTTTTCTCTTTTGGTCACTCTCTTTCGCTTCCGTTAATTCTCCCTTGATATTTCGAGGTCATTTTTTTTATCAATTTCACTCTTTCTTTTTGTCTACGAACTTTCACTCTAGCACACTCTGTATCAGTTTAGACTTCCTTTATTAACTGCACTCTCTCTGTCACTTTCTCTCTCGTTCTCTCTTTCTCTCTCTCTCTCTCTCTCTCTATATATATATATATATATATATATATATATATATATATATATATATATATCATCAAATCTAATTTTCATGTTTTCAACAGGACAGATTGTGTCTTTTGCTCTCTCGTAGTTTTTTTTTTTTCTATCCAAAACTCTGTTTCCCTTTCAGCGTCCATCACTCTTTCTTTCTTTCTATTTTTCTTTCTTTATTTCTTGATTGCTTTCTTTCTTTCTTTCAATTGTTTTTCACTTTTCTTCTCTTGCGTCTCTCTTTCTTTTTTCAATCGTTTCCTCTGTCACAATAGGTTTTCCACTTCTTTCTATCTATCTATCTATCTATCTATCTATCTATCTCTCTATCTATCTATCTAACATTAAACCTCTTATTCTTAGACATTTTATTTCTCTCTCTCTTTCTCGGTCTTTCTATCTCTTTCTCTCTCTTTAAAAACTTAAGATATTCATCAAATTTGGAACGGCAATATATTATACATGAGTGTCAGTTTTTATTTGTTAATTCAATAAGTTCCGCTCGTGTCTTCACTCATTAGATGTTATCAGCAGCATACGATTCTCGAATTTTAACTAAGGTATATCGGAAATGCAATAAACTGAATGACATAATCAATAGAAGTTATTACTTAATTTATATGCGAATATATTTTACTTTTATTGGAGATCTTTCATTTTAAGGATTCTATATTATTTTACGAAGGTCATCTTATACATAGTGAATAGGATTCGAAGATTCCTAAAGGAAAAAGAATCGATATTTGTTTTAGTGTAATTATGCCTGTTTTAATTATTTTGTGTATTCCTTTTCCCAGTTCATTATTAATTACCCATATCACGTAATCTCTCCCTCCCTCTCTCTCTCTCTCTCTCTCTCTATATATATATATATATATATATATATATATATATATATGATTGGTAAAAAAAAATAAATGCCTAATCGAGGCAATCAGAAGAGCCGGTAAAGACGCATAGCCGGGATGATTGGACCGAAACATTTTTTTCATTTCACCCCAAGCCAAGCAGGAATGTCATTAGTCCTCAGAGGATTACAGAAAGTGAAGTTGAGAAAGAAGACTGTATAGCGGGGAATGAGGGAAGGATAAAAGTTGAACGGGGTTCATATTGACGTTGTAAATTAATTTTTAAAGTTTTCTAGGAAGCAAGTTAACGCAAATAAGTTCCATTGTTGGTAAGTGCGTGAAAAGAAACTGTTGGAGTAGAGGTGACGTTTTCATTTAGTTTTTTCAAGGGTAAACTCGTAGGACCTAAATGCCAATCTAGTGGCACGTTTAACTTCATCTAGTCGATGCAACCGAGGAAAAATTGTCAGAGTAGTCCTCATGAAAACATTTGTAGAAAAGACAGAGGGAAGTCACATCATATTTGTGAGAAAGTGACTGAAGTCGACATTCCAAGTCAGGATCAATTGCATTATAGATCCTTCTTTGGATTTTGTCAAAAAACTCGAAATGAATAACAGGAGCACCAAACCAGATATGGCAAAAGTATTCAATGCACGGCCGAATGATAAATGTGTAAATGTACAAGATGGGTTCAAATGAGAAAACCTTTTGGCACGACACAGTGAACCAACTTTCCTTGCAGTAGATGCAGCTAGTGATTCAATGTAGTCGTTCTACTTTGACTCAGTTGAAAACGTGAGGTCGAGAAGGCACAATGAGACGCTCTCCGTGAATCGAGCATCAGCCATGCTGATGGCGTGTAGGGAAGTTTCTCTATGGTGATTAAATGAGAGCAGTTTAGTTTTGTAGGCAACGGAATTTACAAACCGTTTCCTGTCCTTGTTAACAACTGATTGGACGTCATTTTTCCATAACAGCGGCCAGGTTAACTTTGTCAGCTCTGACGGATTGCTTTTAACCATACTTCTGGCCATTTACAAGTTCTGGGAAAATATATATTTTTCTTTATTTTTATTTCTCAAATGCATTTAATCTCGTTAGTGGATTTTGAGGATGTAAGTCACAAAGCAATGTACAACAATTCCTCCAAAATGTCCATCATTTTTTGAATCGATGTTAAAAGGCAAGATACCAAACTGGAAAATATCTAATTTATGATTTTTGATGTTCTAAGGACTTCAAGGCTTCATTTTATAAATAATATCGTATATTATATACGTATTCTTTATGGATATTACTTGTACACTAATTGAAATTCACTACTTAACACTCCATGCTCATTAACTAAAAATTTAATTGATTAAATCACTGCTTAACATTCCATGTTCATTAATTTAAACAAGATATCCGTATAATTTGAAATATGGAAAGTTAACCTACCGGATAGAAAGGTACTTTTTTGGCCATCATACAGATTGGATGATTATGCCTTATGAGGAGAAAAATGTAAAGAACAACTCAATAATAAATATGTTATTATAAATCACACTTAATCAGCCCTTATGAATAAATATATGTACAACATTATGATAGGTAAACAAATATAATGTGTAGAAATCAACAACGTTCTATTTTTATGGTATTTTTAGAGTAATTCTTCCGCACCATTATCTGTTTCGGTTTTTAAGAACTCTTGTGACCAATTCAATTATCAGTCTATTAGCCTTCTCCATCTTTTTGGGAAATTCCTAGAGGACCTAATCAATGCTGAATTGGTTCATCATCTCTCTTCTCAGGGCTTTTCTCAAACAAGTAATATGGCTTTCATTTCTCCATGCCAACTTCTGATGTAACGAGGATAATTACGGAAATAATATCTCATGCTCTAGATATACATGGTGAAGCCCAAGCTGTAGCATTGGACATCTTGAAGACCTTAGCCAGAGACTTCAGGTCTTCTCCAGAAGCTAACAAGTTACGGTATCTCCGGACACATTTTTTGAACTGATCCAGTCTCACGTCTAGATCATTCCGTACTGACGCAGGTGTCCCCCCAGGGCACAATCCTGAGCCCTACTCTATTTTCCTTTTCATTAATGACCTTCTTGATGACATCGAATCTCAACTTCGCATCTACGTTAAAAACACACCGTTTACTCCTGCCTCGATAGTAAGGCTTTTCATTGCGACAAGGTAAAAATGGCAGTCGAGGTCTAAAACGACATCAAGTCCATCGTTAGCTGGCGCAAAAGGTGGCTTGTTAATTTTAACCCCTCCAAAACTAAACTTATCTCCATTAATTATCTGGCAGACCTTCACCGTGACTGATGCTAACCTCCAGGAAAGTGATTAGTTGCACCTTCTCGGCTCAAGTTTCTCTTTAGTGGAAAAATATTGCTAGGTCAACTGCTAAGAAAGTCGGTTCACTATAACAACCAAGACAATATGTTTCTTTTCCAGAATCTATCTTACATATCTATACTTCTACCGTTCTTCCATATTGTTACCACATATGGTCCGATGGTCCTGATATTTACCATGAGCTCCTTGATAAAATCCAGATAAAAATCAGCAATTTTATTGATCTTGATCTGGCAGTTCGTCTCCAGTCACTTTACCACCGTCGTAAGGTCGCCTCTCTATGTCTTTTCTATACATATTTTCATGGTAATTGTTCAGATGAGCTCATAGCAATGGTATCTAGTTTTTTAAATTTAATCCCAGCACTAGACTGGCGTCGAGATCTCATGAAGCTAGCAAGATGTCGCCATAAATTCTATGCTGTTTTTTTTTTCGCGCTTATCGCTTGTGGAACTCCGTTTCAGTTCTCTGCTTTCTAGCCAACCTTACGAAAATTAAATGCAATGTCAATCGCTATTGATTGACTTCCTCATTATTCTCTTCACTTTCTGATCATCATTTTTCTTTTTGTTCCTAATTCTTTCCCACCCTGTAACCTCTTATGTTTTAGTAGAATTGCTACCTTGCTTGTTGTGATACTGATTAAAACATGCCAGTAACCTGTTAAGAAAATATATGATATTTTTCATAGTAGATAAACATGAATTGGATTTTATGCGAGAAATGTATAAAAAAAGTTCTTGCGTCGAAAATGACAGCTGAGAAACCGATTTGTTGTTTGTGTTATTTTTAGTAGAAATTAAAGACGAATACAATATAAGAATCTATTTTTCACTTAAGGTAACGGATTCCGTCAAGGGATTTTACCAAAGACGGATATGTGGCGTCACATTTAAAAAAAAAGGTGAAGAAAGGCAACTATAAGTAAAATGATTGACATGCTTTGACATTTTTTTTTTATTTCTATCGACCCGTAGTATTTGAGGGCGGAATACAGGGAAATCTATAAACTTGCAATTGTTCAAACGATCTCACGATTTGCTGTACCCACTTTTTCCGTAAGCGCTCATCCATCCTAAATGAAGGCGGTCACTATGAAACAAGTAAGACCACCATGACACAATAACAACGAGGATAAAATAAGAGATTCGTCGATCGGTGATGGGGTAACTCAAACTTTATTGTGATTATACACAACTGAAGTTGTGTGATTTTTATCAATGTAAAATGTTCGTTAAATAAATTAAAATATAATTGTCGCCCATTCTTCGTCAAAATCAATAGAAAGCTAATCTGTGCAAAACGAGAAACGAATTTTCATATGAATTATTAAATGTGCTTTTTGTGCTAGTTAAATTTTTGACAGAATATTTCTTTTTATAATGTTGTAACAATTTCATTAAAAGAGAAAGAGAAAATTTGGGTTATGTTCATTGACATGGAACGGGATTATGTTTAGTGTCGCCTCTGGCTTCAGCAATTCAAATTTCAACGCTACATCATAGAGAGTAGAATATTTCTATTTTATCTTGTTTTATTATAAAGAGTGTTCCAATAACTTGTATCGATCTTAATGTGGATTAAGTTTAAGCGGCTAATGATTTTTTTCTTTTCCTTTCAGATTTGGCAAATATTTGGTCGATATTATTTTTCCCACATAATTGTCATGACATAAACAACATGACCCAATATAGAAAAAAATGAATTTTCACCAGTAACACTGATTTATTTACTGCTGACTTCGATCCATCTTAATGAAATAGGCTGAAATATAATCCGTCTTAATGAAACACTCTTTATAAGGGAAAATAGCAGTAGCTTCATTTCTAGGAAGAATAAGCGGATGAATGCATGCCGACTTCTTGGCTAGATTTTCATTGCTACTTACTGGCTTGCCTCTCTAAGTCATCTAGATGAGTGAAGCATGTTGACCCTTCAAATTCCTAGGTGTTGACTTGAATATTCACTTTTATATTTATATTTACATACACTCGAACTCTGATGTTGAGCACTTTATCCCATAAATATAGCAGACCCTGAAACTACATTTCTTTATATATGTCATTCGCAGACAGTACTGTTTCGCTGTATCTCATCTCTTCAGTGCGACTAGACATCCGAATACTTCAA